AAAATAAGACTTTTGGTGTTTTGTTTTCAGTTTTAACAAACACATTTTATTTCTTAGACTTACGAATACGGCTGTATAATATTAAACTTAAGAATACGGCTTATGTTATTGCACTTTAAAATACAGTTTATACAATTACCCTTAAAATACGGTTCATATTATTTTCTTAGTTTGAGGTTTTAGCACATAGATAATACACTTTACAAATAATATTATAAAAGGTCCTTCAGTTAGCGTTTTTCTCTTAGATTAAACAACATATTACTAGAAAAACACAAATATCATCACATTTTCTGATGTTATTGTTGCTGACACCCCGAGGGACTCGCACATTTAAAATGAATTAAAAAATTTAATAAGGTTTGCTTGATAAACCACCAAATCTTAAGAAGCAAGTCTGCTAAATATTAAAACAAATGTTAATATTGTTAATGAAATTATGTTGTTGTTTTATAAATATAATTCTATTACTATGATTGGTTTGGTTGTTGTTAAGCGCAAAGCTTCACAATGGGTTATCCCTGCTCTGCTCACCACGGGTATGAAATCCGAATCTTAGCGTCGTTAACCTGGCAGACTTACCGCTGAGCCACTGGGGGGGGGGGGGTTCTATTATTATGACTGGAGAATGGAAGCCTACAACAACTCTAACGATAGCCTAAAAATATTGTATTTTCTAAAGTTATTGTAATTATACTTGGAGTAATAATTTTTTTTAGTGAAAGAATTGTCGAATCACGTTTCTGCAGTTAATTAATTGATTTAAATTATTTTTATTTTCTTAATTACGATTCGTACTCTAAGAACGTATTGACTAGGAACGTTAGTTTGTTTAGTATTGTCACTAAATGACACACACACAATAATAACTATTAATTTCTCGCAACCCAGTGGCACAGCGGTATGTCTGCGGACTTACAACGCTAGAAACTGGGTTTCGATACCCGTGGTGGGTATAGCGCAGATAGCCCATTGTGTAGCTTTGTGCTTGATTACAAACAATTAATTTCTCGTTGCACCAAAATTTCTACTATTTTCTTAAAATCTGTCTATCTATGGATCAAAATATACATCCAGTATAAATTAACTTATAAAGGTTTGGTAGGTTTTCAGAACAAACCATATTAGGCTATCTGCTGTGTCCACCGCGGGGAATCGAACCCAGGATTATAACGTTGTAAATCCGCAGACTTACCGCTACAATATATTGTAGTTGCTTCCTGTTTATGATAGGGTATAATTACTTAAAATTTAAAAATATAAGTATTTTAATTTTATATTCTAAATACTAGCCTCCTAGTGGCTTAGCAGTGAGTCTGTAGGCTTACGATGCTAAGAATCGGGTTTTGATACCCGTGGTAGGTATAGCACAGATGTCCCATTGTGTAGCTTTGCGCTTAACAACAACAAACAATCTACATACTATTACTTCTGGTAAAACAGTTCTACCTACTGTACTTTTACACGCTCGTTAAAAGTTTATTCTATGAAAGCTTTAGCATTGCATTAAAATAAGTGAGAATATGAACACGAATTGTGATATGTGTTGTTTCTTTTTTTTTCCAATCTTAAACATCATTAGACATTTTCTTAGAACAGTTTCGTTTGCTAACCTTCTTGGAACAGTTTCATTTGCTAACCTTCTTTTGTAGTGATTTTTTGTCGTAAGTTTGGATTTCTAATTTCTATTTCCACTTTATTATTTTTTTACTTAGTTTATTATATTTTCTTATTCTCTTAATTTGATTTGAACTATAAATTGTGCCCTGTATCTACCGCTTTTTGGCTAAATTTGTCAAACTAAACCTAAGATTTCTAGGTGATTGGCATTCAATGTTTGAATATTTGTCTGCATTTTACTATGCATGAGAGGCATGAAGTAAAATACAATCTCTCCTGTCATCTAGAACTTTTTGAATTTTAAAACATCACACTAGCGGCAAGTTTTCTTACATATTATAAACGACCACAACATTAATATATAATTATTTTCGTTATCGAGCAGTTACAGAATCAGTAACAAATTATTGTTAGCTAAATTAAATAGGTTTTATCAGTTATTTTGATACTTTAAATATATTTGAACTCCTTTATTAAAACCGTTTACAGCTGATTTTCAAACACTTTCTTTGTTCATAAATAATGCCATTTCAATAGGAATGTTTTTATGGACTTTTAAACTTTATTATACTTGAGCTCAGTTACTTACTCAAAAGTAATAGCTTCATATAAGATTCTAGATTTGTTTGTTTGTTTCGAATATTCGTGCAAAGCTACTTAAGACGTTAGCCGTCCATAATTTTAACGTGATAAGTGATAGATTAGAAGGAATAGGGATTAAATTGAGGCATAACAGTCCGGAACAATTTCGCCTCTTGACGATTCAATAGTTATCGTTCCTGGTTTTCTGACAGCAGTATTCAAAACGGCACCATTAAAGATTTGAATATATTTTTAGGGAATGTATGTTCTTTGTTGTACCACGCTGCTAATACAATGTAAATTAAAAATAGGAATTTCACCTTATTTAAAAACCAAACTTAACCACTGAGAGGAAAGGCGGCTAGTCAACAGTACTCACCGCCAACTCTTGGTCTAGCCTTGTCTGATCGGATAGTGAAATTTGACCATCACTCTTATAGCGCACATACAGCCCAAAAGTGGGGAGTGCATTTTTGTAGCATCGATCGCAAACCATAAATATTCATTCACAGTCTAGGCACGCTAACCATTAACCACAGCCCATTTCTAGCCCAAAATCCTAAGAGCAAAATACTTATATATATATTTGAATATTAAACATAAAACCTGAACAAGAATTCGCAAGAATAGGTACGTAGACTTTTATCTACGATATGTGATTAAATCATATAGAACAAGCAGTTATGGGTGCATAGCTTATTGCACGTGAGGTTTTGCATGAGGCTTTTAGTACTATAGAATTTCGAAAAATAACAATTCTATGCGCCAATTTCAATGAAATAGAATGTTGGCACATACTGCTAAGTGTTGAAAACACCGTTTTTATTTATCCAAATACAACTATGTCTGACATGTTTGGAGCCACATATCATATACTTGAACATACAAAATGTATAATTAAACTGAATTTCTTCATTTTCTTTTGTTAATTTTAAACGCGGTTCTCTAACTGGGTGCTATAATTCCAAGTTTCTGTGAATGAAGACTACATTGTTATGCTGTAGATGTATAAGTTTGAACGCTTTTACTTTTTATAGTGAAAGATATTATTTGTCCAAATCTTATTATTTTTGTTTATGTATAGCTAATATGAAGTTCAAAAAACTAAAATTGGTCCGTTTATCTCAAAATTCTGGTGACCAAAACAATAATTTGCATAGAAATATTTCAAGGTTTCAGAGTTACAGAATCGAAGTGTATTTGAGTGTGGATTGGTCCTGTATTTTGGCTCCGACGATACCAAAAATACTCCCCTCGCTTTAAGCTTTCTGTGCATTATAAGAGTGATAGCGTGGATGGCAGAAGGTAGGGTGCTGTTGACTGGATGCCTTTCTTCTGGTCAGAAGGTAAAAATTAGGGACAGCAGGAAATAGCCCTAGCAATTTTCCCATAAGTACAAATATGCAAAACTAAATGCAAACGCGAAGCGTAATTTGTATCAATAACTCCAATTACTCCAAACTTTGATGATTTCAAGGCTTGTAACTTTTAGTGGCAAGAAAGTAGCTTTTTACACCGTATTTAAACGTTCATAGTTGTTAAAATACAATCGATATATGCTTAAATTATATTAATAGATATAGTAGAGTAGTTACAATAATATTTTGTTATTGAAAAATTAGCCACGATCGTATGTTCGACCAATAGCATCATTGATGGACAAATTCTTCTATCTATTTTTTTTTTAAGTACGAAAGTGTACAAACATTTTGATATCTAGACTGAAACAACGTTATTAAATTGTAAAAAAACTGTTTGAAGTCAGGCTGCTAAGACTACTTTAATCCTATAATAAACGCCCCCCAGTGGCACAGCGGTATGTCTGCGGACTTACAACGCTAGAAACCGGGTTTCGATACCCGTGGTGGGCAGAGCACAGATAGCCCTTGTGTAGCTTTGTGCATAATTAAAAACAAACAAACAAACAAACCTATGATAAACAAAACAGAAATAAGAATAACGTTTGAATTATTTTATAAAAATGCGTGACTTCTCAGTTTGTGGATATAATAACGTTTATTCCCTTGTTCTACAAATCCATCCTATTAACTATATTTTTCAAATAAATTTTGTGTAATAATTATCATTTGCAACTTTTATTACTTGTCAAACTTCATAGCTCGTTGATATTCAAGCCACAGTTTAGTTATTGTCATTATGTAAATGTGGCGCTCCTAACGGATTCTAGGCCCGTTTCAAACATGGAGTGTTGAAAAACATAGACCTTTATTATTGGGGTGCATTCTGTGTTTCTTCTAATGAATAGACTACATTGCTCAACTTTTCTTCATACAAATTTTAATACTGGACAGTGTACGACAGTTCTCGCCAAGAAAAGCTTCCTATATTTTAGGGATGGAGCAAGTAGTAGTTTTGGTCGGATATCTGATTTTCGGTTGCTGATATCCGATCGGATAGTGGATGCGGCCATACATAGTTTTAATACTTCTCAGGCATTAGCTATCATTTCTTTATAGTATTAAATTAGTTACTTCGTCATTGTTCCTACAAGTAATTTAATAAACATGTGAGATGTGCAGTTAGTTCCGCATGAGTGAGTGGCCATTGCAGACATGTATGTGGTGGTGGAAAACAGTGCTTAACACCTTAGATCTTCCCCTCCATTTGAGAATATTGCTTGTATTGTACTAGATACAACACCTTATTGTGTATGGCGCAAGCGCAAGTTGTATCACGCCTGTGTAATATTGAGCGATAATCTGTTGATGGAAGTGATATCTGATTATCCGATTTATAGCAAAATTAATATCCAATCGAGTCGAATACTTGTTCCTTCCCTACTTTACTGAGAGTAGGTTAACTTGAAAGTTTCTTTTATTAGACCATTTTTATGATACATAAAGAACAATCTATGGTTAGAATCATGTTATTTTTAAAAAGAAATCCGTTGATTGATAACTATTTGTATTTGTATTTTTAGTAATGCTGGTAATTGACTGTCAGTACACATTGAAACGTGAATTTCCTAATTCAAGATTGCTTCCTACACACTTGCAGCCGTCGTTACAACAGACTTGGAAGAATTAGGTGTAAGGAAGCTTGTTTCTGTTAAATAGATGTTGTCAGGTGGATGAAGACAGGTCGAGTTTACAAACTCTGTGGTGGTGACTGCGATATTAGGGGTATGACATAAGCGGATATTGGAAGCATAGCTTGGCACCCCACCATAAGACCTTTCTGCGCGAACAGAAGACTTCAGAATGTAGCCTAACTTTGGTGCAAACTCCTCCAAAGTCCTCAGGAAGGCGTAACGGATCTCTGAGTTTCGGAAACCATAAATCCATGGGTTGATGCAAATGTTTGAGACTGCCAGAACCCCCAGATAAAACGTAACTTTCCCCGATAGTATATTAGTGTTATGGAATGCATCAATTAACATGCACATTTGGAATGGAAGCCACGTGACAAGAAATAGGCCTGTAGTTACTGCTAAAGTTCGACTGTATCTGGCCTCAGTTCCAACGTTCCCCGCCTGTTGGCGAAAGGACATTTCTACTGAAAATATAGCACGTGCATGGTATCTAGCGACCACGTACACGTAAGCATAGCTAGAAAATATGAAGAATAAACAGGGCGCAAAAAGCGAAAAGAAAAGAAAAAGCCTGACTTGATAACCTATTAAGTTAAAGCTGCAACTTGTCACGTGTTTATCAGGATCTGTACTGTACCACCACAACATAGGTGTGGAACTGACAAGGAATGAATATACCCAGAATCCTATAACATACCTGCCAATGGTGCGGTCAGTAATAATATTGTTGTAACGTAATGGAGAAGCGAGGGAAATGTAACGATCTAATGCTATTCCCGTAACGCTCAAGATAGATACACTACAGAGCAGAATAAGAATGGAAAATGGTAGCAAGCAAAAAAATGCTCTGTCTATTTTGGAACGGCAGAGCTCGAAGTAAAGGGCCACTGGAAGAACAAGTCCGATGCCTAGATCAGCCGTACTAAGTGAGAGGACCAAGTAATTGCTCGGATTCCTGAGGCGCTTGAAGCGGTAAATGGATATTACGAGTAAAGCGTTACTACACGTAGCCAATAATGAAAGAATAAATATACTGAGTACCGCCAAAGTGACATCACTTGCTGAGGTCCATTCAGAGTTAAATCTTTCGTTTTTAACGTACAGAACACCATTCCAAAGTCGGATGTCTGGGGAAGCATCGTCGTTTGGCAAATATGTTTCTTTGGATATTTCAGTAACGGTGGAGTTTAGACCAATAGTGGACATTTCAATGATTTCCTACCACTAATCACCACGTGGATGACCAAAACACCTGTAAAAATTTTCTGAGCCTCCTTCCAATCAGCATGTTTTATATGATGAAGTTCGGAACAATAGTGAACATTTCAAGAACTTCTTTCCTGTTAGCACGTAACATGGTAACGTTCAGATCAGTGATAAACACTTCAAATGCTTTCTTCCTATCAGGATATCACGTGGTAATGTTTATAACAATGGCTAATAGTTCAAGAGTTTTATCCCTGTCAGAGGTCACATGACATTTAGAAATGTCGTTTACAATTCAAGAGTTTCGTTCTTGTTTGATGTAACGTGATAACACTCAGAATAATAGTAGACAATTTAAAAGCTTCCTTCGTGTTAGAATGTAACGTGATAACACTCAGAATAATAGTAGACAGTTTAAGAACTTCCTTCCTGTGATAACACTCAGAATAATAGTAGACAATTTAAAAGCTTCCTCCGTGTTAGAATGTAACGTGATAACACTCAGAATAATAGTAGACAGTATAAGAACTTCCTTCCTGTTATCGTGTAACATGATAACACTCAGAATAATAGTACCTAACTTAAGATCTTCCGTCTTGTGATAACTCTCAGAATAATAGTAGACAATCTAAGAGCTTCCTTCTTGTTAGAATGTAACGTGATAACACTCAGAATAATAGTAGACACTTTAAGAACTTCCTTCCTGTTATCGTGTAGCATGATAATACTCAGAATAATAGAAGACAGTTTAAGAACTTCCTTCCTGTGATAACACTCAAAATAATATTTGACAGTTTAAAAGCTTCCTTCCTGTTAGCATGTAACGTGATAACACTCATAATAATAGTAGACAGTTTAATAACTTCCTTCCTGTGATAACACTCAAAATAATAGTAGACAGTTTAAAAGCTTCCTTCTTGTTAGAATGTAACGTGATAACACTCAGAATAATAGTATACAGTTTAGGAACTTCCTTCCTGTTATCGTGTAACATGATAACACTCAGAATAATAGTAGACAACTTAAGAGCTTCCTTCTTGTGATAACTCTCAGAATAATAGTAGACAATCTAAGAGCTTCCTTCCTGTGATAACTTTCAGAATAATAGTAGATAATTTAAGAGCTTTCTTCCTGTGATAACCCTCACAATAGTAGTAGACAGTTTAAAAGCTTCCTTCCTGTTAGAATGTAACGTGATAACACTCAGAACAATGTGGAGACTTCAAGAGCTTCTTCCCTGTTAGCTTATCACAAATCTCTGAAAAAGAAATAAAATAATCAATAAATCAAATATATCATACAAATAAGTTTCACAAATATGTCACTGTTGAAACAAAATTTGCTGAACCAACAAGAAGGTATATGCTTTCTAAAATGGTAGATCATTTTGCATTTTGAGTCTCAATCAATCATTTATTCTCTTAAGAGTTACGATTTGAACGCCGAAAACTGGCGAACTATTGGAAATCGATAGGCATAAAAATTGCTACAAAAATAAAGTTAACTGCAGATGTTTTCTCCCACTTCCTCTTAATTTGTCCATTGCAGCTTAAAATTAGAAGTGTGTAAAAATAGCATTTCAGATCAATCTTTTATCTCTCATAAGTAGCTGCCCAAGAAACTATTAATTATTTATTGACACAGAAGGATAAATATATTTATAAAATAATATAATACATTTGTAAAATAACGCAAAAGACACGACATGACACTTGAATGTTTTTACATTAAATACATCTGAAGATCAAATTTGGAAACTTATAGGAAAGCAGGAAGGATTAAAGCTAAGATAACGTTCAGTTTTTCCTACAGTACTAAATCGATTGTTACATCTATAATCCCGTCACCGAACATGCTCGGCCTTTCAACCGTGGGGCATTATAATGTGACGATCGATCTCTCTCTTTTTTCGTTGATAAAGAGTAGCCCAAGGATTGGCGGTGGGTGATGTTGACTAGTTGCCTTCCCTTTTGTCTGTCGAAATTAGGGACGGCTAGCGCGGACAGCCTTCGTGTAGCTTTGCGCGAAATTTAGCAAAACAAGCGAGATCAACACCAAACGTCGAGGACTGAACTCGTCAGTCCATTAAAAAGTACCATCATTCCTATATAACTACATTATATACATATATTCCACATCGATAACGAGATGACAACAAGAAAAGTTAGAATTTACCATTACATTATGTTCGGGAATACAAAAATTATCCTTACATAAAGAAAGCAAATGATTACAATGAATTACTACAAACAGGGAAGTTTTAACATTCTTCTTACTTTTAATAAGCAATAGTTTAAGTAGCAAAATGTGCAAGAGTATGGACAAACAACACCCCGTCTTATATACACATAAATCCTGTATGTATATTAAAAGCCCAAAACTCTTTAAGATGACAATCATGGCTGATGCGATGAAAAGCTTTATTCTGATCTGTATCAAGTAAAACACATTGGATATATTTTCACGCTTATAATTCAATACATTACGTAGGGTATATAGATGTTATCATGGATTGTTAGTCCTGCTACTGTATATGATTGGAAATCGTCTATAAGTTCTAATATACCCTTAGAAAGCTTATTATTTTTTTTAGAATTTTATAATCAACATCTAGGACAGTGGTGGGTCTCCAATTAGTAAAATCAAGTGTATCTGTATCCTCCCTGGGTAGGAGACTGATGACTCCTTTCCCCATCGAGAGCGGTAATGAACTCACACCTAAATTGTCGTTTAGCATTTGTAGAAAATTCATTTCTAAAAGAATTTTTAAAAAATTTACATAAAGTTCTGCTGGAAGTCCCTTTAATCCAGATGTTTTTTGATGGAAGTCTCTTTAATCCAGATGTTTTTTGATGTGAGTCCCTTTAATACAGATGATATTTGATGGAAGTCTCTTTAATCCAGATGTTTTTTGATGAAAGTCCCTTTAATCCAGATGTTTTTTGATGGAAGTCTCTTTAATCCAGATGTTTTTTTTATGAAAGTCCCTTTAATCCAGATGTTTTTTGATGTGAGTCCCTTTAATACAGATGATATTTGATGAGCCAAAACTTCTATCACTTCTCAACAAACAGCCTAAGTGAAAGGTTATATTAAAGATTGAGATACCTCATCATCTAATTGAGGCAAATTATCAAGAGAATAACCCATCCTGGAAAGATAAATCAATTGAGAGGAAATGTGCGTAAAAACCCTTGAATGTGAAAGTTTGGGTGTCAAGAGCATTACCATTAATTCTTATTCTCGAAATGACTTTCTATAAACTGTTTCTCTTAATAAAAAACACTTATTTAGCCTTTCATTGTTTTAAGGTCTTGTATTCGAACTCTGATTTACGTATCTTCCAACTGTTTGTTCAATACCGTTTGAAACTATCGTTTAAATGAACCCCACATTCTCTATCAGTGCTAGTTAGTTGTATTATCTAATTGTGTTCTCGTAATACACTGCTGAAGCTACAAAACAAGACTACGTTGATGTCGAGAAAATAAATTTGAAAAAGTAATAGTCGAAGTTCTCTATTGCTTTTTAAATTTCTCCCACCAAAATAGCAGTAGGTTCATCATGTTGAAGAATAGTCCACAGTGATTGAAAAGCCAACCGAAAATCCTCCCAGTGAAAATGTGGAAAATTATATTTTCAGTATCCTTTACCCTGTCTAACATGAGAAAAAAAAAGTTGACACGAAATAATTCATGATCAAAGAGGGTACAAGGGTCTAAATCACTGAAAGAAACATCGTTAAGGAGAAATTATAAAAGTAAAAATCTATCCGAGATTTGTCCGACCCATTAGTCCATGTAAAACTCAATTTAACAAGGTCTTGAATACGCCAAATGTCAATTTTAAAGACGACAAATAATACATCCCGACCTCTCCTAAAACAGGTTTACCTTTTATTTTGTCCTTTAGAAAATCTAGTACATAGTTAGCCCCCCCCCCGCGCACTTACCCAATTATTCGAACACTGACCATTAAATAAACCTCTAATGATCGACAAAAATATATCTATCATATCCAGTAATTGAACCATAAGGGCTAATTAAATGCACACGAATTTGTTCGGGAAGAGTATTGACGACCACCATTATCCCATCAGCATCAGTAAATATCTTTGCAATATTTAACTTTTATTTTTTGATTTTTTGTTCACGAAAATGTCTATTCCCTCTTTGCGGAACTCCCAATAACATTCATACGTTGCACTAAGAAAGCTACTTATTTAGCGGCAATTGATGTAAGATGATAAGTAAGTTTCTTGAACAAAAAGAAAGTCTGGAAATATTAGTGATAAATATTGAAGAACAAATTTTGTAGATTTATTTTTGAGACCATTAAAATCAATTGAAATAAAACTATACATAAGAGAAAATGATTAGTCACACCACTAAGAATATGAAAATAATTTTCTTAAAGTTCACGATGATATGGTTTCTTCCTGACAAGCGTCGTATTTTCAGGAGGTTCTGGTTTTTATAGAAACCTGTCATGAGGAAGTAAAGTCACAGATGCAGTTGGAATAATATACATCAAGTTTAACCTTGTCTCCTCACTAGAATGTTGCTGAAAACTTGGAGCAACATCGATTAAGGCTGGAACCAAAGCACTCTGGAATTTTGACGTGGGAGAGATAGTATCACGCTGAAATAGTAACTGTATTAATCTGTTATTGTGTTTTTCTACATTGTATGATAGGTTTCAACGCAAGACATATCTGACCGTCGTGTGTCTACAGGGGCTTAACGAAAAAGATCCAGTTATAAACCATTTTTTGTCTTGTAACACATCTACTAAACGTTATTGTTTAACAAATTAACCCCTGCGTAATTAAATCCCTGATAATCATACCCGTCATGGACAAACTGTTTACATTTCGAACAAAAGTCTCTTTTAGAAAATGTTTTGATATGACCAATCTGTTTACACTGAAGATATAATGCTGATTTTTTTTCTTTAACGCTACTAAATCAGGTACATTTCATAGCCCAAAAATATTTGTAATATAAGAAATCTTAAAATCCTTGTTTAATCTTAGTGCGAACCTTTTTACCTTGGTTTGAACTCGAATAAAACCCTCTTCAACCCTAAATTCGCGAGTTGTGATTTGAATCTAACCATAAAAACGAAATATGTCGTCAATCCAGTACTACAAAGGGTAGCCAATGTATTCTTCCATTAATGACCCATTCCTCCACATCATGTAGGGTACGTGTATCATCAATTCAGGTATCAGGTACTACAAAGGGTAGCCAATGTATTCTTCCATTAATGACCCATTCCTCCACATCATGTAGGGTACGTGTATCATCAATTCAGGTATCAGGTACTTCACAGGGTAGCCAATGTATTCTTTAACTGATGACGCGTTCCTCTACATTATGTAGTGTAGATGTAAATCCATTGATAATAATATTATTCTTAGTTAACAATATCAACTTGGATTTCGTGTCTATCAAATTTAACAACCATAAGTTATTTAGGTGAAGATTACCAAAAAACCATAATATTCATTAAACTCACCTCAAAGTCGGTTGTAGGACATATGCCCCCGGACAACTGATCTCCGCAGCAATATAATTTTGCATAGTTCAACAGTTTTATTTAAAATAAATGTAACATAAAATGCCCTCTGGACATCTGCCCCCGTAGGAAAATTGCCCCGGACATCTCCCCCCTCCCAGTCATAGAACTTTGCATAGTTTTTATTTTATTACAATAAACAAAATGTAACAGGAAACCTGTTTTATTTTCTCCTACTTAAACAGTTTTTAGATAATTAATTATTCTATAAAATACAAGAAATTTGTGTTGTTTTTTCCTATTTTAGTCAGTTATATTAGTATAATAGGATATGGCTACCGGGGTGGGGGGCAGTTGTTCGGGAGGTAATTTTCCTACGGGAGTAATTGTCAGGTTACCCTCAAAGTCAAAACCCTTTCTATAATATGGACAAAAGTATGGTCTTCCTCGGGTATCATATAGCATGAGTACGGTTCTCTCAAAGTTTAAACCACTAGGGAATACAGAATATTCATCAGACGAAGAATCAAACTTCTTACCATCAGTTTCATGTATTCCGTTAATAAGTATCACTTCCGAGGAAGTAGTTCTCTAGTCCACTATACCAGAACTCATCAGTTGGACTGGACAATGAAAGACAAAAGAGTATGAAACGTTATTCATATATGCATTATAATATTTTAAAAATTCCGTTTTAAACGCTGAAAGCTGACGAATAATTGGAAACCAATA